GAGAGAGAGAGAGAGAGTCTTTGAGTCTTTATCTTTTATTTTTTTTTTTTACGAATTCTTCAATTTTGTGTCGTCGACTTGTTTGTTAGATTTCATTCAAGTGGGAAACTGAGATTTGAGAATTGAGAGTGACTCTAATTTTTGTGTTTCAATTACTAATTAGTATTAATTATATTGTTTACTGCTATTTTGTTTAATAATCATATAGAAATGGACTTGATTACCAAAAACCATTAAATAGAAGAAAATGGGGCCAGACACATATATAAAACTCAATTTACACAAAAGTTATCAACTCACCAACAAAATTAAATTAATTCAAAAAAAAAAAGTATTATCAGTTCCCAATCTGTTTTTTTTTCTTAACTTTCGATTTATTATTTATTACAAATTATGAGAATAGTTATAAAAACGTTTCTATCACAAACAATTTTCTCCGATCATATTAGATACACCACAGAGTACACTTTTTTCTCTGACAGACGAGACTTCATTCTCTATGCGTTGAATTATGGTGAATGGTTCTAATTGTGCATAATTGTAGATTTTCTGTAAGTGTATCTATTTAATATGTAAATAATCGAAAGTGCCAGTTTCTTCTTGGGTTTTTAAGGAGTGCCACAACAGTGTAAAGGCTGTGGGCGAATGGACAAAATTACCCTCAGCCAAAAAGAGAGCAACTCGCGTGGGACATGTTTCTGGCAGCTACAGAGAGCATTTAATGAAAGCAAATATCCAAAGAATAATTGGTTAAATGGATAATTAAAGAGGACCTAAGTGTGTTTTAATGGAAAATAAGTGATAGAGAGATTTTCTGGAATAGGTGGGTGCTAGAAAAGGAGAAGAATCAGATTTCAAAGTTTGGAGCTGAATTTACAGAGAATTTCGGACTAATTATTGTCCATAAATCACGTATCGATGCCTTCAATTGTGTCTTTCGAGGGGTTCACTTGAGTTTTCATTAGCTTCAGTTTTGTCCATCAAAGATCTAGGTTATGATGGACAACATAAAAATAATTAATAGGGGTGGTTAACGGACAACACTTGTTTATGTGTTGAGTACATGTCTATTGACCTCCATCGTAGGTATAATGAACATCAGAGATCTAGGTGGATAACATGAATGATGGACGAGTCATAAAACAAATGAAATATTTAACTAGTAGACGAGTTGATATACCAAAAATTTAGTCTATCAAAAACTTACATGACAGGTTCTTATTTCTTTATGGACAACACGTGTTTCTGTCTCGAGTACATGTTTATTTCTCTCTGTTTCGAGTACAATGGACACTGGATGTTTATGTTGTGATGGAAACTAAGAATGACTGAGGAGTTAGTAAAATAAATGATAAAATTGACGATAGACCAGTTGTTACATGACAGATCTGGTCCATCGAAAATTCAAATGAGGGGTTCTCGATGGACAACACTTGTTTTCGAATTGAGTACATGATTTTCGTCTACCATCGTGGGTACAGTGGACATTATTAAGCTTTTAAAGACAACGTTGAATAAGTTAGATGCACCAAAACCTAACTTGATGAACAGTCTACCGTTCCTGGTACACTAAAACCACCACCATTGTAATTGAATCAGTGGGTGAATCATCAATTTCTTCCTCCACTGTAATGTCTTGAAGAAATCGGTGAATCGTTAGAAAAAAGAGGTTGGAGAGGTAAAGATGTTTTTTTAACAAAAAAAAACAAAAAAACTTAAAAGTCTTCAGAGCTTTTTGTATTATGTCTAGTCAAAAAGTAAAACAAAAGATAAAACTATGTTTTACTTGCACAAGGGTAGAAGTGTATTTTAAAATTGGCCCTATAGCACCCAGGAAAAGAGTAAAACGAAAATGGCAATGAGTAAAAACTTTAGTACTGTTCATGTCAATCTAGACAATTTTCTCTATTAATAAACTGTATTATATGGGTATCACTTTTGATGTAGAAGCATTAATCAACCATTTGTTAATCATTTATCAACCGTTGGACTAATGTTTTGAAACTAGATTTTAACCCGCGGTATACTGCGAGACGGTTTTTTATAGCTAAAATGTATTTTGACTTTTGATATACTGTAAGACAATTTTTTTGTAACTAATATTTTTAATTTTTGTAATTGTATTTTGTCTTTAATTCAATGATTTATTCCGTTGAATATTACATAACGATTCTTTTTTTCTTTTTTTGTCAACATTGGGCCACAACTGACCGGCCCCTTAGCCTAATCCCTACAAATATGTAGGGGAATGGACTCGAACCCTAGTGTGATGGTGTATGTCCATCAGTGGACTTATCATTTGTCACTAGACTAATGTCACTTCACAATAACGATTCTTTTTTATTTTATACTAGCAGTTGACCCGCGCTCCGCGCGGGAGGTTTATAATTTTGTTTCGTTGATTTTTTATTCATATTGTGATATTTTATTATTTTTAATTGATTTTCAAAAAATATTATAATTATTTTCTCTTTAATTATTATCTTTCAATATTCAAATTTGGATTAAAAGCACTTGATTCAATTTTTGAAATATCATTTTTTTTTCTTTTTGATCATGTTATAAACTAATATTTAACTTTCATTTTTTTTCCTCTTTATAATTTTATATATACAATTACATAAATGTTGTTTTAGTCAACCATAAATTTAAATTTTACTTCCATTCTAAAACTCAGTAACATATTTAAAATATTAAATTATGATCAATTTAAAATGAAAGTTGAATTATATTATTACCACTAATAAAAAATTAAAGTATTGTTTTTCTTATTTTAACATTTCATTTTTTTACATAATTTATTTTTATTTATATAAACTTTCTATTTATTAAATAAGTAACATAAATATGCACTAAATGAATGTTTTAAATTTATTTTAATGTTTAAACAAAAATGTGGCTTAGGTGGATGCTTAGGTGGATGCTTAGGTGTCATCATGAGAAGAGAGAAAAAACTAACTTTATATATATAGATAATCGTAATTCAATCAACTTAATTAATTATTTTTAATTTTAAATAATGAATCATTAATGATTCTTTTTTATTTTATGTAATCGTAATTAATCACTTTTGATGTAGAAGCATTAATGAACCATTTGTTAATCATTTATCAACCGTTGCACTAATGTTTTGAAACTACATTTTAACCCGCGGTATACTGCGAGACGGTTTTTTATAGCTAAAGTGTTTATATTTTAAGTTATAGTACATGTTAATTTTGTTTGTTTATTTAGTGTTTATTGTGTAACTGTATTTTGACTTTTGATATACCGTAAGACAATTTTTTTGTAACTAATATTTTTAATTTTTGTAATTGTATTTTGTCTTTAATTCAATGATTTATTCCGTTGAATATTACATAACGATTCTTTTTTTCTTTTTTTGTCAACATTGGGCCACAACTGGCCGGCCCCTTAGCCTAATCCCTACAAATATGTAGGGGAAGGGACTCGAACCCTAGTGTGATGGTGTATGTCCATCAGTGGACTTATCATTTGTCACTAGACTAATGTCACTTCACAATAACGATTCTTTTTTATTTTATATAATCGTAATTCAATCAACTTAATTAATTATTTTTAATTTTAAATAATGAAATGATGATTGCATAAGATCTTTCATTTAACTCATTTTATTCAGTCTAAAATATTTGATATGCAAATAACATGTAAGAAAATTATAATCATATTTATGTAAACTCAAACCCACTCAATCATATTTATGTAAAATATAATAGGAGGAATTTCAAAAATACCTTTTTCCAATACCACTTTTTAAAAATACCCCTCTTTTTAATTTTATCAAAAAAATATGTGTAAGTTTATATTTATAGACACAAATTATCTTTATATGTGTGTAAATTTATATATATATTTCATAAATACCGTATAAATACCTTTTAAAAACCTTTTAAAACTTATTTAAAAACCTTATAAAAACTTTGCAAACCTTTTAAAAACCTTATAAAAACCTTATAAATGCCGTTTAGAACCTTTTAAAACCTTATAAAATTTAGATTTAGTCTCCTAGTAGTAATGATGATCTTGATGCACCTTATCAACCATATAAAAGTTTATAATTTTTCATATTTGAAAAAGGGTATTTTTGAAAATAGATAGAAAAGAGGGGTATTTTTAGAAAGGGGTACACCAAAAGGGGTATTTCTCAAAAAATATAATAATATATAAAAAACTTAGAGTTACAATATTAACATTTTAACATTTAATAGAGTTTACATATTTTATATATTTGTAATATTTTATAGAGCTTCAATATTTGTAATATTTGAAACTTTTAAAAAAGTTCCAATAATTATAATATTTTAAACTCTAAAAGTTAAAATTTATAATATTTTCAAACTTTTTTCTTAAATTTCCTCAAATAAAAAATTGGATTAAACCGAATAAATCTTTAATTTGGACGCCGGAGATATCAAGCTTCATGCTTTGTATTAGGAAGCATATTAGTCCTACTTATAATGGTTTTAAACAATTTTATAAATTTTTTACCCGATGTGGGATGTTAAACATATTATTTTTTTCCTTTATCAAATGAGTAATATATGTCCGTTTTCAAAATTTTAAATTGCCACATATGCAGAAAAAAAATTGTACTTTTTATCAAACATATGTTTTATGGAATAATATAGATTTAAAAATAAATAGATCATAGAAATATATTGGAGAGATATTTGATTTGGTAAGGAGATATTTTGAAAGAACCCATCCCGTTTTTTTTTTTTTTTCAAAAAATGCAAACCGGATTAACCCAACTAATTGTAAACCAACTAAACCAGCCTAAACCAATTCAAATCAATTAACCACACATAACATAACCGGCAGAAGACTTAAACACAATCCATGAAAATAATTCCATTAACCCAACAAAT